TGTTCCAAAAAAAAAAAAAAAAAAAAAAGAATTGCGAGAATTTTAGTTACCTGAGTAGAGCCAAGAATGTAAATGGCGGAATAATGACGACCATGAATCATCATATCAGCAACCATCGCCAGTCGTATGGTGAGAGACTTGCCCAATGTCGCTACTAGTGGAGTCGTCCACACCACTGAAAGTGCCCTAAATTACGAGGAAAAAAGGTAAGTCATTTTCTAACTATACAAACCTCTTTCTAGGAGGATTCTAAGGAATTATTCAACATTTTTTATTGGTTACCCTTTAGCTGACACCTTGAAGTCATTGAAACATACCAAAAATAGTCAGAGAGGACACTTCCGACGAAACCATAAACCAAAACACATAGAACACAAGTATTCCAAAACTTGTATAAACAAATCAAGCCTGTTCATTCCACACTGTGTATATAGTTATACAATATGATGGCAGCACAAATTCACATTGCAAAGCAACTAGCTTTCACATTGCTGTATAACACAAGAATACTTCATATAGGCGAGTGTAAGACACGAGCTTTCTAAATCACATCAAAATGCTCGAGGAAACAAATGTATTGAAATCAGAAGTGCAGACAAAATAACCAGAGACAAACACAATTAAAACCGAGATTCACGGTTGCACTTACTTAAATACAAGATGGTAGAGTAGGTCCGTGGCAGACAAAGGCCACTGCAATGTATATGATCACCAGTAGTAGTAGTATCAAGAGGAGCCTGCAAGACCCAACCAAACATATAGAAAGATCAGACAAAATAAAAAAATACTCACTTGAGATGTTGTTCACAAAAGCATAAATTTCATGTTTGACATGTTAAAGGTTTTATGGTATAAAGGAAACGTACGTGAGCTTGCAATTCCTCCACCACTCGGTGATTCTTAAACGGCGAGCTTTGTCTTTGAAACGGGATGCACTCCCCTGCATTTTAGCAGTTGTGTCGACAAGAAGCTCCAAACGTTCACCTCTGTCTACAATTTTGTCAATGTTCTCTATCATGACATCCCGCACCTAACCCCAAGAGTGTCATGTCAGCGTAAATCAAAATAATGCAAAGATAACAACTCTACAAGATAAATTCAGACCTGATTCAATTCATCCTTGATCCGATTGATTCTATCGGCATTAAGATCATTAGAGTAATACTCAATCTGTTGACTTAGAACTCTTGAGAACTCCTCGTTCATTGCATAAGTTTGTGCTGTATGAACTGCCCTGGCATAAGTCCTTACGAACCTCTGATGAATATCCTCCAGAAATGCAAATGGAATCCTCCCTGGGAGAGATTACATACAAAAACAAAACCTTTAGAGAATAAGTTAATACAGTAATAAGAGATTCGGACATAAAAACTCTTGTTCCGACAAAGAAGATAGAATTGGTTCGGACATAACATACATCTGGAAACAATGTTTCATCTGAATGATAAAATTCATAGAAATCTCGAACCACATCAAGTGATGGAGGAGAGGAGATGAACGTACTTCCGGCGGTTTCCTCGGCCATACAGAGAACGGTGAGGCCATCGGTACGCTTAACGTGAAAGACGTAGCGATCCTGAGAATATGAGACGTTGATGTCGTTGTTCCCAGGGACCTTCTCCAGGATCTGTTTTGCGATCGTGCTCGCGTTCGTTGACGTTGACGTCGATGTGAATTCTGCGAGCACCACCGTCCCACGCGCCACGAGTGCGTACAGAATCGCCATATTCTCCGACGGTCACCGGCGAATGTACAGACGCGAGGCGTAGGAGGGAAGGAAGGTCAACGAAGAAGGGTTCCCGCGGAAGCTGAATCAATTAGCTTTTCTCTTGGAGTTTACCTGGAGCAGGGACCTTTTCGCGGTTTATCAGATTTGAATAATTGATTTTTGGAGTTGACCAAAAACGAAAGAATTTTTTTTTTTTGGATAGGTACGGAGAACATTATTTTGTATCAGTTTAATAAATTTATGAATGAAAATAAAACATGTGTTTCATTTTTAAATGATATTAATTTATATAACAAATTGTTAACTTGAAGATATATAACTAAATAATTTTACTTTTCATCTATATGATTAAATAATTTATTAATAAAATTGTAAATTTGCAAAATAAATGCATGTTATTACATAAAATAAATTATTGTCGAAATGCAGATTTGAATAACTTCGGTTTTTATTTTTATCACTCTCAAAAAGTAACTCCAGTGTAATATACATATTTTAAACTAAAATAAAAAATATTAAAAAATTGTATTGGATATTTTTTATTTATTAGTAACATAATTATCAATTTCAAAAAAAACTAATTTAAAAGATCGTTCGTCTATTTAGAACATATACACTAAACTAAAGATAGTGTTTGGTTTTTATTTTTTTTGCAAACTAATTTTTTTCTATTTTGGCAATTAAGACTCCATTAAATTATATATTAAACTATAATGTTTAAATAAAATTATGTTTAGAAGAAAATAATGAGGGATGAATATAATTTGTAAAAAATATGTTAATGCCATGAAAATGAAAATGAGAGTGGATAAATAACTAACACGCTGAGCTAACGAAACTTGCAAAATTACTAGAGAAAAAGAGAGTTTAGAAAAATCCAATTCAAATAAGAGAAGATATTTTTTTTTAGTTTTCCTAAATAATAAAAATTTATAAAATGTTTTTATTTCCAAAAAGAAGTAATTCTATAAAAAAAAATTTATTTTATTTTAAATATTTATTTTACATATGACATTTTTGTACACGTCAATAAAATTAAATTATGTGACAAACTGATGATGTTGTGATTGGTATATAACTATATATCATCAAAAAGTAATTAAAATATATGATATTAATTTTTCGAAAATATGTGAATGTTTATGTACAGTAATATAAGTCATATATAAATTGAAATATGGAATAACCGTTTTCCCGTATGCGAAAGGTAATCCAAATTTTTGGTTCAGTTTCTCAACAAACCAATATGAAGCCAGATCATAATATTGATTGGTTTATACTTTTTATGAGTTGTTTTATTAAAATAAAAGTATCTATAAAAAAATACTCCTTCATTTTTAACTTATTTACAAAGGCATTCTACTGAAATTATTAATTAATCTATTTTTAGGATTCTTTATTTTTTATATTTAATTAATGCATTTTCAAAATTAAATTCTAACTAAAAATTATGAAAATAATAATCAATAAAATTACATTTTATTATTTTTTGTCTTTTTCTATATATGTGTGTTTGGAAATAAATAAGTAATTAATAAACCTAGCTATAAATAGTTACTCAACATATTATTTAGAAAAATAAATTATTATTTTATCTATTAGTAATAACTAAAATAAAAATCCTAAAAAATCATTTTGATAATATATAGATTAATATAAAAATATATGTTTAAATGTTGAAAAGTATAAAATATATAGCACCTATATTTTAAATAATATAGCACCATATATTTTAAATGATATATAAAACAAAATTTATATACATAATCATAAAATTTTGATTTCTAAAAATATAAAAAATATTTTACAAATATACGGATCATTTTCTTAAAATAAGAATAATATAATTGATGGTTTACAAGGAAAATAAAATTACTTCTATTAAATATTAAATTATTGTGTTTAAAAATATCATACTATATAATTATTTAAACGAATAAATTTTAAAATATATTTATTATCAATTATAAAAATAAATATGTATTGATAAAAAAATTAAAAATAAACATTACGGGTGTACTTTTCTGATGTTTAGTTTGTTTATATGACATAAATAAAATTTTAACAGCTACCAAAAAAAAACTTAAATATAGTATGATTAATTAATTTTAGAAAATGCATCATAAAAAACAAAATAAGTTTTTTTTTTTATAACACTGAATTGATTTAGGAGTTCAACAAAACAGAAGAGAGAATAACTAAGAGAAAATGGGATGTCAATAGACACCAAACAAAAATGATAGGGATCTCACCAAAACTTCATTGCTGGGCCTCCAACGCGAGTAGATGATGAAGCCACATCGGAGCGTTACGGGCGATGTACGATTGATGACGAAGGTCGCGCGTGACGCTCAAAGCAATAGCCGCTGCAGCTTCATTGCGTTCGGGAAGGGCGTGATCCAAACTCCATGAATCAATCCTTGCAAGGAGGAAGAAAATGCTGTGACGAATATGACTGAGGCTAAAGTTATTCGTCGTGGTAAGAGCATCATGTAGGGTTGCAGAGGCAGTCTCAAAAATAATATTCGAGAAATGTAGAGTATGCAAACAATCGACTGCCCAAAAGAGAGCCCACAATTCTGCTTCTGTTTTTGAGCGCATACATGAGTAAGCACGACGACTATGCATAATTGTGGACCCTTTTTCATCCCGAAGGATCCAAGAAACACCCGCAATATGGCTTGAATTCACCCACGAAGATCCGACATTACATTTGAGGAAACCACTGGGGGGTTTTTTCCATTTAATAGTTTCCGAATCGACCTCATCTACTCCATCCTTCATACCAGTGAAAGTATCAAACCATGTGGATTCTTCCTCATAAGCTTTACTAGCAATGAAGGATGCCTCGATCCTCTTAGACTCAAAGACGAAAGCGTTTCTAGCTTTCCAAATTTCCCATAACAACCATGGGAAAACATTCTTTGTATGAATATCCGTAGAGGGGCTCTTAAGAATCTTGATCAAGTGCACAAAATAAGTTAAAAATAAAAATAAAATCTGCACAGTGGTGTAAGGGTTCTAGTTTCCATTAAGATTTCAGTTCGGAATTGTTTTGTCTTTTCTTTTCTAAAATCGGTTCGATGTATTTCGAGTGGTTCAAACCATGTTAACTATTCGGTTCGATTTCAGAATCGGATCTGGTTTGTCCAAATCGAAAACCTAAATGTAATACTCCCGGTTCTCAATTTCACATCGTCGTCAGAGAAATAAACTTTTTGAGAGAGGTTTAAGACAAAGCAGCAGCTAGGGTTTTATCTCGAATCGAACTTCCTCTGCCTCAAGTTTATTCCTTTAGGCTTTGCAGACACTTACAGAGAAGAACTGAAGATGAGTTCCAATGTTTCCGTGTCGCCCACAAGCCTCATCGATCATATTGTTGTCCGTACTTGCTTTTTTTTTCTTTTTCAATTACATAACCTAAGGTTTTTTTTTTTCAATTAAAGAGAAAAATTGGTTTTCACTGTTTTTAGGTTCCAGGTGATGTTGTTATTGATTTGTCAAACATGACTAACCAGACTATCAAGCTCGGGAGTGGCCTCCGTCAGGTATCATCATCTTCCTTGATATGTTGTTCTTGTTCGTGTGTGTGTGTGTATGAATCTAAACATTATTCTAGTGACCACTGACATGCGGTTTTGGTTTCTTTCAGGATAATGATGCTATCTCTGCAATGAGAGCTGGGAAGTTTAGTTACTCCAAGCCTAATAAGTATTGGGTTGAAAGTTCTCATAAACGGGTGAGAGACCTCTATTGTTTATTACCCCGGTATTTAACATGTGTTTTGTTATGAGCTGATTCTATCTTTGCCTTGCTGGTTTCATTGTCTTGGATTATCCCTTCTTATGTCAATCATATTTCATGAGTGAGACCTCTCAAATAAGCAGTATGGTGATAGTTTTTGTGGAGAATGCTTAGTAGTGGTTATTTTACATATGGCGGGATTAGAGAAAGTAGCGTTCATCTATTATTCTAGTTTAGAAAACTGTTGTATGTGGTTTGGGGTCACTTTGTTGATTATCTATGTACGTCTCTGTTGACTCTGTTCTTATGTTTTTTTTTTTTTGGCAGTACATTCCTCGCACTGAGGATCATGTTCTTGGAATTGTGGTTGATTATAAAGCTGATGTAAGTCTTTTTAAATCATTTCTTGTGTAGATTCTTGTATCCCTGTCAACCATTTTATTAAATTTTAGTCTTCAAATTCGTTTACAAAGCCATGTTTAAACTTGCTTCAAAACCACACATGAACTAAGATCATTTTAGTACTGAATTGTTTCTATGACTCATCACGGCATTTGCAGAATTTTTGGGTGGACATAAAAGGACCTCAACTAGCGCTTTTGCCAGGTCTTGCATTCGAAGGAGCAACACGAAGAAGTATTCCCAAGTTTGAGGCATGTTCCTTCTCATAAATCTCTTTTGGATTCTCATTTGGAATATGACATTCACCATTAATTGCTTGTTACCTGAATGTTGAAAATTTTGTGTGTACTAAACAGGTAGGCTCTCTGCTTTATCTTCGAGTTGTTAAGACCAACATAGGAATGAATCCCGAGCTGTCTGGTACCGACGGTAAGTTAAAATCTTAGGTGACTAAACAATGCCGTTTTTCTTTTTCTTTTGTAATACTACTGTAAGTGCTTTCAAAGTTAATTGTTTTTTTCTTTCTATGTAACTAGCAAGTGGCAAAGCTTCAGTATTTGGACCGTTAAAAGATGGTTTCATGTTTGAAACTTCAACTGGTCTTTCAAGAATGTAAGACATACTTCCTCATAAACAGTCTCATCTGCATCTCTTCACTCAAACAGCTCTGACATTCTAATTTCTTATAGGTTGTTGAGTTCACCAACGTGCCCAGTCCTTGAAGCTCTTGGAAAGAAACTCTCATTCGAGATCGCCACTGGCTTAAACGGCAGAGTGTGGGTAAACGCAGCTGCTCCACGTTCAGTGATTATAGTGGCCAACGCGATAATGAACTCAGAAACCTTAAGCGCCACCCAGCAGAGAATCATGGTTGAGAAATTACTTGCAAAAATTTCAGACTAAAATGTTGACAATAAGAAGTTTAATGTTCCTTACAATGTAACTGTACCTTGGATGCTTTTTCAGCAGATATTATTGAATTGGGGCTATCAATGTGTTAACTGTTTCACCTACATTTTTACTGGTATATTGCGCACAAGTTCTCACTCTCGAAGACTAGATAGTTCCAATTTTTCAAACTTGAGAGGAGCAAACGGTGGTGGTGATGGCATGGATTGTATGTCTTTGGCCGTTTGTTTATATGCTCTTTTTAGCAAGTGATTTTAAATTTTCAAATACATTTTATACAGACAATAGTCTAGGTAAAACAGTGAATACATAGTGATAGTCCAACTGAACAATATCTAATTAGTACACAACAATGAGCCAACAAACTAGTGAGGTGACTACTCTCATAGTCTATGCTGCATTACATTTGAGAGACAGAGGGAGGCTCATATCTGCAAACACTGTCATATATGTTTCCCTTTATCAACTTCTCAGCCAATCTCTGATTCTTAACCATTGCTAGCTGCAATAATAAAGGGATACAAAGGTTGCTAATCAAAAGTTTCAAATTTTCATAGCAAATTTGTAAAGAGTAAACATGAGGGTTCAGACCTTGAGGGCCTCGCATTTGAATTGAGCGTTGAAGTTGGTGTGAAGAGCTCTTCCCATACCTTCCAAGACAACCTGCAAAATCATCAAACATCAATGAACAAAGCTTATCTCTTTTGAAGTTGTTTTTCAAGAGCAGATGTTTTTGAGTATATACAAGATCGGCATCTTTGGCAGCAGCTGCAAGCTCAGAGCTGACTTGTCTGAGGTCAATGCACGGACTTCCACATCCATTTTCAACAACCATCAATGGTGCTGAAGTTGAATCCTTCTTTGACCCATCCCCTGGGTTCACCATTGCATCCACAAGTAAGCCTCCCATCTCTGCAGCTCTCCTCAGGATATCACAGTGCTTCAAAAGCAAAGACAGAACAAAAAGAGTTATAGTTATAAACACCACAACGAGTCTAAAGTTAAACCAGTAATACCTTAGCAGCCCCAGCGACTATATCAGGGAGTTCCATAGCGGTCACATCATTGAGAGCAGGAAGAGAGTTCGCCACCAGAACAACCTGGAGAAGCATGGTAACACCTTGTTTAGTGCTAGAAACTATCATAGGAAGAGCTAGGGAGAGATACGTACTTCAGTTCCACGACGTAGAAACTCTCTGGCAAGAGGAAGCATCCCAAGAATGACATCTGCTCCTGAGTTATCAACAAAGAGTAACGCTCTTTTATGTCGATGAGGCTGCTTACCTCCAGTTCCAAGCATCCTTTCTTTGAAAGAATCAAAATCATCTACCCTCCATGGTCTCTGCATCTTGTTGCGACTCATTCTATATATTTCAATAATGGTCCCTTTGTGATAAAGATCAACACATGCTCGAGATCCCCAGTCAAATATGTTTGCAGCTAAAACACCTTCTATAAGTGTAAGCAACCTTGCCTCCTGAAAAAAAAAGTCCAAGAGAAGTTAGTCTCACATGCATACCACTAAACGTTTAGCAGAAAATCATTAGGAAGGTTAAAGATCACAGACCTCGCTCATTGAATCAAGCTCCTCAAGTAAATCAGGTAAAACAGCAAGTGATGCCTCGTTCTCCCTATCAAATTCAAAGAAAGAGAGGGAATAAGAGAAGCTACAAGTAGGGAAGAAGATGATATGACTTTGTTTTGTTACCTTTGCTTGATGCTTCTATAGGCATCAACAAACTGGAACTCTCTTAAGCACTCTTCCCTAAGCTCCAAGAGATTTGCTAGCCCAAGCTTTCCATATGCAGCTGGCTCTTCCATTAATCTACAACCGAAATGTAAGTTGTCAAGCACACAAAAAAATTTCAAGAATTTCTTGAATTTTTTTGTTTATTGTATGATGAAACCAGACCTTGCCAAATGAGCAGAGAAGGCACGAGCAAAAGCATCACCACGCCTTTTCGCATCCTCACTTCCTCCTTCACTTGCTACAGCCTATAACCATATCCATAGAATATTAGCAAAGCATGAGTTACAGTCCCTAAAAAAAGAAACTCATATGCGATAATTTATAACAGTTACCGTATCAACGAGGTCTGGCAAATGCTCAGACAAAACTTTTAGCCAGTACCTACACACCAAAGCAAAACAAGCAATCTAATAAACAGGTATATCATCAAATATTACCAATGTTTTCGAAAGTACTCACTCTCTTTCGCCTTGGTCTGATAAGTCAATCGTGTTAGGCTCATACCTGGAGTAACACAACCAAAATGATGAGTAATGGCCAAACCATGAGATATATGTACTCAGGGACATGCCACTTACATTTTGGGGTCAGCCAGCAATGGGAACACCTCTAGTGTAGGCACAAGATGGAGAACACCAACGTTTAAAGCACTGGCGTCAGATCTTAGAGCACTTCCTCTGGATGAAGGAACGTCAAAGCCTCCAAGCCCGGTTGTTTTCGATGGAGTCATCGGTACAGGCGCAGTTATTTCAGTTCCTCTACGCACAAACTTTTCCATCCATGAAATCTGAAAGCAAACAGAAAAGACCCTTTCACACCCAAAACTTATTGAGTCAAGATACATAACAAGCTTATAACTAGTTGAACTGATGTCTCTTTTATACTCTCTTATAACTAGCCAAAAGGTTGATAAAGGGAAAGAGCACCTGATTCTATCTCTTATTTAAAGATCAGTGGACTATACTCTCTTATAATTTTCATTTCAACCTTAGATATATACATAACATCAATAGAAAAAGATATATATGACTGTGACAAAAGATTTGAACAATACTATACATGTTATATGATCAGATAGATCAGTAGAACAATGGATCTCCCTAAGTAATAGAATTTCAACAAAGTTGGTTAATATAGTGGACAGCTATGATTCTTAATCTTGCTTTTTATTGTTCTTTATGTCACATACAAAAATAGTTTGTAAAAATAAGAAAGAATCAGCATAATTTACAACGAATGATATCCATGCAAGTATAAGCATATGTTTATTCACTGATGTGAGCACAAATAAATAAAGAATCAGAAGATTCTTATTATACGGCAGATCCTTAATTTGCTAAAGAATTTATATATAACAATCTGAGACGTTGGTAGAACGTAAGCTAAAGCGGTTACCTTCTCGTTCAGATCACCAAGTGGTGGTCCATGGATATTTCCTCCAGTGTATGGTGCACCCATTGGGAACCTCTCAACCAACTGATGTGACATTAAATCATCCAATCCATGCTTCTCATAGCTCATGAACGCACCCATAGCACCAAGAAAACCTTCATGCCTCAAGAACATAGCCTGCATATCTCCTTTTGACCTAGTGTTATCAAACAAGATATTATTAAACAGCTGAGTGGTGAAAGTAGAGTACGCATACCACGTCTAGGTTCAAGCTTACCAAAAATGTACAGCAAACGAGATTGTGTCCATGGTATATGCATGTCCCCTAATGAAGAATCCTCCAAAAAATATTCGCTTCAACCCAAAGCGAAGGGCGTTTAAGTAGGATATCTACATAATAACAACATACAATATCAGAAACTCAAAATATTAACATGGAATACAATGAGAAAACATTAGGCTTATCTTGCTCAAGAACTTTGGACACACGACCACATACCTGTCCAATATTGTATGAGATCATCCGCAAAAGAGACAAAGAAATGTCTTCAGGTCTGTAATCTTCCAATTCCTTATTTTCAGAGATAGCCTTGCCGAAACTAGAAGCTATTGTTGAAGCAGAGAGACCAATCTGTTTGATTGATTAATGAGAGTCGCAACAACTATAGTGGTAAAGCAGCCACATCCTTCAGTGAATGAGATTTGATGGAAATAGACTCATTCATACCTTGGAGTAATCCATGCCACCATATATATCACCAACAAGCATGTCAATGGTACTGTTGTCTCCCTTTTGACTGAGTTCTAGCAATTCATCAAAACTAAAACAGAAAGAAAACATCGTTAAGGAAGATGAATATAAAGAAGGGAAAATTCAGATTCATTTACCTCTTGCACTTCGTTAGAAGTCTTCCTAAGCCCCAATAGGTACCACCACCAACATTAGTCCCACTTACACGTTCAAACTTTCCCTCCCCATCAACCTAAACTTTGAAAAGCCTTGCGTGAAAATCTATTTGTTCAATGCAATTTTCTGACCTCCCAGCTTAGGAGTTCAAGGAACCACAACACTGTGTAGAAGAAGTAACAAAGTAAACAAAAACCTTGATTATGCTAACACCAGATCCAACGTTAACAAGAAGATAGGGATACAATTCATTAGGATCTATCTGTACAAATTCTTTCTCAGCCTCCATGTGCGTGTAGGCTTCATGTCGAATAGCCTGCAGAATAAAAGTGTAAAGATGAGGATAAAATCCAAAAGTGCACTTGCATAAAATCCTAAAGTCTTATCAGAGCTAATGTAAACAGACAGATTTCTAGCTCTTTCTTCTCATGTGAAACAGAACTCCAATCAACAAATCAGCAACATGCCACCAATAATCAGAACCTATCTTAACGTTTTGTTTTGTAAGTGCTAGTAATAAAGGCACAGCTACATACGCAGACACAACGCAAATGGAACTTTGAAGAACTTACCTTGAGCAAAAAATTAGCTCCAGAAACAAGGCAATGCATTTCATCTTCTTTTTCAATACTAACGCCAAGCCGTTCCTTGAACAAATCTGCAAATTTATAAGCTCCACCACCTGTGACCTGTAAGATACACGTACACCTGACTCATATGTTTTAACAAGCACTCAAAGCCAAATCTGAAAATCACATGACATGGTTGGATATACAACTATACAAGACACATGAACATAGGCATGTTGCACCTAAAATAAATCACAATGAGCAATTTTAAATGCTTTCTGGTATCTCAAAAGAGGCTCATAAGGTGATAAAGATAAAAGAAGAAAGTCATGAAGATGCCATTACCTTGATAACACCAGTCCCCAAAGGCAGGGTCTTCGAACTCCAAGGATAAGGATCTATTCATTTATTCAAGTAAGTATTGGTTTAGAAGAAATGGAAAAGAGAAAAATCAGTACAAAAGTAGCTAACATAAGAAGAG